ATCTGAGTCGAACTTGTCGCAACCAATTGGACCAGTTCGTGGAAATTCAAGTGAGTCTCTTATCTTCTGAGAAACTTCTCCTGTTATCTCATAAACATCGTCGAAGCAACCTGTTTCATATAAAACCTTCTGACCTAACTCAGATGCTCTCCAATACAATTTGACGTCAATTGGATGTCTCAATGGAAGTTTGTTTATAGCATCTTGAAGTTCTTTCAACCTCATTGGAAGTTCTTCTGGTTCAGGTTGGTATCCGAACATACCAACCCCTTGTGGAATTGTGTACTTCTTTTGTACTAGAACTTTGTCTGGAACAACTTTTGGTCTTGCTAACAATGAAAAGTTTGTTTCGTCTTTTGGTACAAAAGTTTCTGTCAGCTTGTCATCTGGAATTGGTTCCAACAAACCTTTCTCGAAAAGAATGTTTACAGCTCTGACAATGTTGCACTTACTTTTACCAAAGATAAGACTTTCGTTCAACATGAAGTGGTTGTGGACAAGTACAATCTTCAACCATGGTAAGTCTTTGTCAACAACATAGTCGTCATGTGAAGAACCTTTAGCTGTAGGTATGTTGACTCGGATATTGACATTTGCCAACGGTGCAATTTTTGCCAATTGACCTCTGAGAATGTACCTTGTCTTCACACATGACTCAAGATACTTCATCTTCTCATCTGTAACAAGACCAGAGTTCCTGAGACATGTAAGAATGCAAGGTTCATTGACAATTGTTTCAATTGAATTGTAAATTCCATACCTTGTCAAGTCAATGTCAGACTTATTTATGAACGGGAAGTATCCAGCATGTTGTCTGACTGCTTGAGGGTTAGGTTGGTACCATTCGAACTTGACACTTGCAATTCCTTCAATTGCATTCAAAATGTCTGAGTCGGAGTCAACCATTTGTTCTCTCTTTGTAGTCTTGAAAGCGTCAAGAAGTTTTGCGGCTGTTTGTTCATTGCCATGTGCATAGTAAATGTGACCATCCAAATCTGTTATGGTCAATCTGAGATTGTATCCTTTCTTATTTCCGTCTTGAATTGCAGCAAGTACACCCATGAAGCCTTCTTTGTTCTTTCCTTCGTCAAAGTTTACTGTAAAGTCTCCACCTTGTCCAATTTTAGCACGAACTTCACGATACTTTTCATATGCATATCTTGTTCTTTCCATGGGAGCATGACCATCCTCTGCACTACCTTTTTTCCTTCTCAAAGGATGCAATTGTTCGTCATGTTTCCAATAGAATCTGGCAAAGCCGTCGTGTCCCTCAACTTGAGGTTCACTAACATCGAAAGGCATGTCCATAAGACGTTCTTCTTCTAACCTCTCTAGTCTGTTTGGATAATTTGCACGTGCTGTTTCCAAATCCATTTCGTAGCGAAGACCAGACAATTTGTCATAGACTTTTATGGGTCTTCCTTTCTTATATTTAAACTTCTTCGAAACTCTCCAACCATATCTTTGTAACTCTGCTTTTATTCTAGCAGATTTTCTATCCATTCTATATGGGGGCATTTTTATAAAAATAAAAAAATATTTTTTTCTTTACTTTACATAACTGCCTGAAGCCATAAGTCTTTGACGCCAACCCATACCAGCTAATGAAGGTTGACTTGGTTTAGTTTCCAAACTAAACTTTGGTTTTGGTTTATCTTCAGTTTTTGGTTTTTCTTCTTCTATCAGTTTTTCGTCACTTTTCGGTTCCTCTGACTTTACCTCACTTGCAGGAACAGTTGTGTCGTCAACATCTTCATAAATATCATATGCCATTTGTTTTTGTTTTCCTTTCAACTTTTTGTGTTTGTTGTAAAGTTTAGAATATTTCGACTCTAAGTCAATGAGATGTTCTATAATGAACTGTTGGTCAGTGAAGTAAACTTTTCCATCTGTTGTCTCGAAAGCTCCTCCAGACTTCAATATTTTATTTGTGAGAGTCTGTTTCTTTTTTGAGATACTAGCCGTTCCATTTCTATGAAAAGTGACTTTATAGTTAGGGTTTGTATTTCCAGACCTTGCACCTTCTATTATTGAATTTTTCTCTTCATCTGTAAGTTCTTTGACAGGTTTTGACAATGGTTCTGAACTTTTTGTTTGTGGTGTCAAATCTACCGTTTCAACTTCTTCGGTCATTTCATCTCAGTAAAAAAATTTAGTTTGGTTTGTTTTCAACTGGTTGTTTAGGTTTTTTAAGTCGGTCTAAAACTTCCTGAGGTATAGGAAGAACTTGACAAACACGTGGTGGTGTAACTGCTGGAAGTCGACAAATCCATCTTGAACCCATTTGTCTCAATGCTGTATTGTTCATTTCATCTCAGTAAAAAACTTTACATTCTCCAAGTTTGAGGCGGTTGAGGTTGGTTATTGTTTACCCACTGTTGTGCATGGTTATATCCTCTGTTAAAGAATCTTTCACCTTGGTCCATATAATTTCCTGCTTGGTTATAGTAGTCATTTGCTTTGTTATAATAGTTTCCTGCTTGTCTTCCTACATTGTCCATCCATCCTTGAACTTTTCCTCTTGTTTCAGGATTTGGAATAAGATTTGTTGCATCTCGTGCTACATCCCAACCTTTCTGTACAGTTTGTATAATAGGTTGTGCTTTCTCTTTAAGTATACCTAATGTACTCAAAATCTTCCTTCCAACTCCAAATACACCTCTGGCTATTGTTCCCACTGCGGGCAAAAATCTAGATGCAACTCCTGCTAATGCGCCAAATAAACCCATTTCTTACAGGGTAAAAAATGACGAATCCAAACAAGGACCCCTATGTTTCTAAAGCAACAAAGAAAGCACTCATGGTAAAAATCTTTAGTTCAACACCAAATGCTTGGTTTATGGATATCTTGGAAAACATTCCGAGAGTTAGAACAGATGGACCACCATACTGGCTAATATTTGTTGGTCAAAACACAAGATACTGTGAAGCCATACCATTACAGTCTAAAAATATTTTAGATGTGAAAACTGCTTTGACAATATTCGTTGACAAATACCATCCAACAAAACTGACATCTGACCAAGAAAGTTCTTTCAAATCAGACGATATTAAAAACTATCTGCGTTCAAAAAATGTAAACCAATATTTCATTGTCGACCAAAACCATTCTGCTCTTGGTGTCATTGACGGTTGTATAAAAATCTTAAGAGACTTAAACCAACCACAAGGCGGTGAGGTAGATGAAATGTCATATGACGACAAATATAGACACTTCTCCATGGCAAAGATGAGACAAGTTTTAAATATTTACAATAACCGTAAACAAAAAGGTTTGGGAAACCACTCCCCCGAAGAAATGAAAAACAACCCTGACTTAGAGAAAGACTATATATTTAATAGTTTAGTTAAGAGGGATAGACAAGAAAGAATGCCAGGCTTCAAACTTCGGAAGGGTGACAAAGTAAAAATAGAAATACCTAAACGCGACCCATATGAAAATACTATTGACTATGACAACAATGGGAACCCGACAGGTACTCACATTCGTGTTCGTAAAAATAGAAGAAAGTATACAAGAGAATATTATGAAGTTTTAGGCAAACATGGCAAAATGTACAGACTGCAAGCAGAAGATAAAACTACTATTGTCAGACCTCGTTTCAAACTTGTCAAAGTTCAAGGTGGTATACTTTCAAAGACAGTTCCTAACAAATATAAGACAACTCCTGACGAATATGCTAAAGAAGTTGAAAATGACGACTAAGCAATTCTATACCATGCGTAAACTGTCATGTAAGGTGGCATGTATTCTTTACTTTGTCCGGTTGTTTGCGTATACCCTGAAACGCGATGTGTATGGTTTCCATCTCCCTGAGTGTTACCCCAGAAACAATTTATAGCAAACTGAACTTCGTCTTTAACATCATATCCTTTACCTTTTTTCATTGCTGACCAATCCCAAAATCTATGCTTATGCCAACCTGCTTGAGATGTACTTAAATCTATGTAGTGACTGTGCGCAGGTAAGTTTTCACCTGAAATCGTTTTACTTCCACCTGTTTCCTTTGAAGAGTTTGCACAATACAAAAACCTGTCGACTATTTGTTCCCATGCACCAACACCAAACATTACTTGAGGACCTCTTGCTTCCATAGATGTATAAATAGAACCTACTGGGTTCATTAAATCAAACATATGAGATATTATAGGATTGTCTCTTTTGAACTTAAAATATAGTGCAACTATTTCAGGTTTCTTCTGGTTTGTGTCAGAATATTTTTTATAATATAATCTTATGTTTTCAGGGTGGGTAAAGTCTTGACTATAATATTTATTTCTGTCATCTTCATAATAGTATACTATTCTCGTTTTTTCTATTGCATTATATCTTTTATATCTATAATATTCTAAATATAATGTTTGCTTTTTTGGGTCTACACGTGCGTCAGCACCATAGTCATAATAATATGGTGCTGGAGCTGGGTCAGGCAATGTCATATCTGCCATTTCATAAACTCGGAAATATTTCTTTTGTTCGTCTCCATATAAGTTTAAGTAGCAGTTGTTGTCTAATGGAACTTTAACTTGTGTACCATTATTCTTTATATAGCTTACATACATTTCATTGTTATTTTTCGGAATGAGTTTATACCGTATACCATTTTTTAAGGAATGTACAAACTGCCATCTAAAATATTTGTTTTCTTCATTGACAGAAAAGTCACCAACAATAGTTTCAATATTTTTTGTTCCAACTAAACTTTGGTATATTTCATTGACATATGTTTTATCTGCTTTATTTTCAAGGCTAACGTTTAAGTCTGTTATTTCAGAAGATGTATGTGTATGTCCAACGGCACTTTTCCTGTTTAAGGTTTCTTGTAAGTTTGTAATATTTGCAATGGTATGTGTATGTCCAACGTCACTTTTCCTGTTTAAGGTTTCTTGTAAGTTTGCAATATTTGCAATGGTATGTCTATGTCCAACGTCACTTTTCCTGTTTAAGGTTTCTTGTAAGTTTGCAATATTTGCAATGGTATGTGTATGTCCAACGTCACTTTTCCTGTTTAAGGTTTCTTGTAAGTTTGCAATATTTGCAATGGTATGTGTATGAGTCTTTTTAGAATATTCGTTTTCAGCTCTTGTCACTTCACTTGACATTTTATTGTCAACATATGTTTTGTCTGCTAGTTCAGGATGAGTATGTTCTTTTGTTGCATAAGCTTTGTTAGCTCTTTCTTCTTCTTTTGCTATTGCATCGTCTACATATGTTTTGTCAGCTTTGTTGTCAACATCTGCTTTCAAAAGAAGTTCTTTTATAGGTTTCTCGTTTAAAGTTCCTTTTGTTGGATTTATACAGACAGTATGGTTCTTATTGTCTTGAAACAGAAACTCATCTGTCATTGGGTTTAATGTCAGTTTTAAGTTTCCTTCTTTCAATGACTCAGATATCTTAGAATAGTTTGAAAAGTTTGTTGTGTTCTTATTTAGAGCTTGTATAATGAGTTGTCGGTTGTGTTGTATTTCTCTCATAGACGCTGTTTCTTTCGACATTTTTATTCTAGATAAAATATGCTTTCAATAGAAAAAGAAAATTCTAGAGTTGCTACAACTAAACCATTAGATGAACTTTTTACTAATGTCGGTCAAAAGTTTGAGACAGAGACCGTAAAGCATGAAGGCTATCGTTTTGACTACCCGTTAAGATGGCTAAGAGACCCATCCGTCACAAAAGCTATTGGCTTTCGTAGAATGAAGTTCATTTCAGAAGCCATACATGGTTTCCCATTTACGGTCGGTTTTGAAGTTCGATACTATAACAAAGAAAAACGTACGTATGAGAAATTTGAACAGGGAAAACTTTTACAAGTGAATTTGCTTGTAAACTTAGAAACAACTCTTCAAGCTTTTCAAGAAAAAATAAACGATATCTATCTCGAATATGCAAAACAGTACAACATTGACGAGGGAGAGTACCATCTCGATATTATATATGACAGGAAAAATGCAACTGTTAAAATCAATAGAATAGAAGACCTTGGAGAAAACGTTTATATTTCTACAAAATATAACAACTTGGCATGGTATAGATTTTTGAGGATGTTAAATCAGCCTGCAGAATATCCAGTACACCCAGACTTTTATGAAGTCGAAAACCCTAATGGAACATATGAAAATGTTTTCGACTCAGATGCTATTATAGTTCATGCTTCATTTTCTGGTGCGCAAAACTCTTTCTTATGCTTGGCAAATGACTTTTACGAAAAACCTACAAAGTTATACGAACCACCAAGTGGAAGTATTTCAGACTTTCAAGTATGGTTTACAACAGATGGAAGAAAGAGAATAATTCCATTATACCATGCGTTTTACTTAGAACTTAGTTTCATATACAACTACTATCGAACGGTAAAAATATAATTTTTTAATACGGTTGAGGTGTTGGATTTGGTTGCCAACTAGACTGTGGTGCAGGTTCAGGCTGTTGTATAACAGGAGCTTGTTCTTCTGGTTCAGGGTCTTTAGGTATAATACCAACGAACTGACCTACTCTTTTACCAATATTTTTGACTCCGTTCCAAATTCCTCTTCCGACAGATTTTATTCCATTCCATATACCTCTTCCAACATTTCGAAAGAAGTTTCCTATTCTTCCAAAGAAACCCATTTTACTATATGTAAAAATCTAATGTCCGCCTAGTCTCTTACGTTTCCTGTTGAGTTCCATAGCATTCTTTAACTGGAGCTCATACATTCTATTTCTCCTCTGGTAGAAAACATATTCTGGGTCAACTCCTGTGTTCGCGTCATCTGCATAAAGTTGTTTATATCCCACTTCAGGGTTTGTATAAAACTCTTTCCATCTCATATTTGCATACCATGGTGGCAAACCTAACGCAGCGTCATTTGACATGGCAGTTTGCATTTGTACATCTGTTGGCACTTGACCATAGTTTGCCATTGCAGTTTGTATTCTAACTTCATTTGGAATATTCTCTGGGTTTGGTTGTCCAGGTTGCTGTGCATTCGCTAAGTTCTGTGCGTCCATTTAATATTAGATAAAAATATCTCTTACGAGTACATATACTGAACATTTGCAGGCATTGGTTCATCTTCATATTCTCTATATCTTTCTGCCACGTCAAATAAATAAATGACACAATGGAAAAAACCTAAAACAAGTAGTCCTATTTCAAACCACATTTACTTACTAATAAAATTTCTTTGTTATGACACTTTCTCCGGTTTATAGGACCTCTCTCATATTCTATCTTGTCATATCTAAACTCATAGTCATGTATGTCCTCTAACCATCTCATAACGGTTTCCAAACCACTTTTATCGGATGTAAAGTAAAAGCATGGATGGTTATGTAAAACGTCTAAAGTTTCTAAAGAGTCTCTCAAAGTCCAGTCTACTTGGTATTGAAAATCCCATGTGTTATAGAACGGCGGGTCCACTATAAAGAAAACATTTTCCTTGTCTTTATATTTTTCATACAACTCTGTCCAATGACATCTCACAAACTCTATACCCTCAATATATTTTTCTATGTTCTCTTTGAAAACATTTGTATAGTTAAGATATAAAACTTTTGACATAAGTGTTTCAATGTCATGAACTCTTATAGAACCACTATATAATAGTCTAGCAGATATACTATCCCAGTCTATATATTCTGCTTTTTTCAAAACCTCTCTCACAATATTTTTCTTATCTAATGGTATACGTTCCATCTTACCTATAGGTATCTTTTCTTTTAACTCTTTCAATATATTGTTTGTGTCTGGTATATGTTTGAGACGGTCCATATAGTTGTCGAAGTCATTGCATATAATCTTTGAGTCTGGGAATATTGTATGGCACAAATGGGATATATAGAAACTTCCACCGAACAAATCTACAAATGTTAGACCATTCGGTAGTTTCTTAAGTTCTCTCAATATAATATCTTTACATTTACTCTTATTTCCAAAGAACGGTAACGGTGGTTTTGTAAAATTCATTTATATATAATAATAAAAATGTTTTTACCCGAAAAGTGACAGAAAAGTGACAAAACATTTACGAAGAAGTTTCGACAAAACATTTACGAAGAAATCATGAAAATTCATGAGGTGAGAAAACAGGTGAGAAAAGAGGTGACATCTCACCTCTTCACCTAAATTATATTTTTGGGTCATTTACGCTCATTACGAAGAAGTCTTGACAAAACATTTACGATGAAGAAGTTTCGACAAAACATTTACGAAGAAGTCTTGACAAAAAAGTCAACGGCTGGTCGGCTGGGGTTCGGTCCTCCTCTTGGGTCTTGGGAAAAATTTCTTATGGGCTGGAAGCCCTCCGAATAAAAACTTCATTTATACTAAACATCTTCAGGGCTAGAAGGCACGAAGTGCCTGGAAGCCCCACTACCCTTTTTTTTTTTTTTTTTTTTTTTTGTTTTCTATCTATGTTCATCAAAAGAAGTCAATAGATTTATTAGTCAGGATCACAATTGCTTTTTTGGAGGTCCATAAAAGAAACGATATGAAAAGCAGACTTTTTTTTCGTACTCCCTCTCAATTTTTTTTCCAGTTTTCGTACTCATACGGTATTATTGTTTTGCGTGTCAAAGAGGGAAGTATCACTTTTTGGTTTACATGTCAAAAAGTGTATTTTTTAAAAAATTATTCATATAAACATTTTGCATGGAAACTAAGGAATTGGAGGCCATGAGGTACTGATATATGATCAGTACCTCATAGCCTCCAATTCCTATTATGAGACTTCCAAACTTTGGTTTAATGTCAAGACATTAAACCAAAGTTTGGATGTCTCAGAGTAAAGATGAGAGGGCAAGAGGTATATAGTATATCTATATACTTCTTACCCTCTCATTTTTACTATAAATGGAAGAATGAGAGGGTAAGAGGTATTGATCGTATATTAAACCAAAGTTTGGAAGTCAAAACAGTTCATGATTATGTCCAATATCATGATATTGCCATTTACAGGCGGATGTGAAGCACGTAGAGGAAAAAAGTTAATAAAACAAAAAAGCTTTTCAATGTCATCTCAATTTTAATTGTGTTGAGTCAAGGCTTTTTGAATGGTCTGACTTCAAATATTTTCCTGACCTCATAAAAATATCTGAAATATATTTGAATCCCATTCTCTTCCAAATTTTTTTGTGACTAACATTTCATTAAAAAAGTAAGTCAGAATTAAATTCGAAGGATTATTATTTTCGTCTGGAAAAGTGACAAAATTATCATTTTCGTCAGACGAAAATGATAATTTTTTATTTTCAGGGTCATGCTAAAAAGATAAATTTATGAGATTGCAATGCAATGATACCTACTTGAATTGCAATGCATCTATTAGAAAATTTTGGTGAAAATAAATTGAATAGCTTGAGTTTATGATTTTGACTTCGCTAAAAAATTTGACTCGAAATTCATAAAAAATGAAACAATTTGAAGTTGGAACAAGAATGATAACATGCACAAGGAGCTATTAAATAAAGTTGTGTATGGGTGGATTGCGCTTAAATTAATAGAGTTATAGTTCAATAATTCAGATGTCAGACGAAAATGATAATTTTGTCACTTTTTTCAGACGAAAATGATAATGCCCCATTAAATTCAGATGAAAAGTCAAAAATTTTATCTTTTTTGAATTTAAACATTAATATTATATAATCATCGAATTCATTACAAATTGAGTAATACGATTATTTCCGATAGAAAATTTTCATAATGATTGAGCCCAAACCAACTCTTTATAATGATTATTTTTTTAATTATAAAAAAAAGAAAAAAAAAAAAAAAAAAAAAAAAAAAAAAAAAAAAAAGGTAGTGGGGCTTCCAGGCACTTCATGCCCTCTAGCCCTGAAGATGTTTAGTATAAATGAAGTTTTTATTCGGAGGGCTTCCCGAAGATGTTTAGTATAAATGAAGTTTTTATTCGGAAAATTGTTAGTCTTCTGGGTCGAAAACATTATATAATGTGTCGCTTTTCACAAATTATATATGTTTTCATGTTTTGTCACTTTTCTGTCACTTTTCAGGTAAAAACATTTTTATTATTATATATAAATGAATTTTACAAAACCACCGTTACCGTTCTTTGGAAATAAGAGTAAATGTAAAGATATTATATTGAGAGAACTTAAGAAACTACCGAATGGTCTAACATTTGTAGATTTGTTCGGTGGAAGTTTCTATATATCCCATTTGTGCCATACAATATTCCCAGACTCAAAGATTATATGCAATGACTTCGACAACTATATGGACCGTCTCAAACATATACCAGACACAAACAATATATTGAAAGAGTTAAAAGAAAAGATACCTATAGGTAAGATGGAACGTATACCATTAGATAAGAAAAATATTGTGAGAGAGGTTTTGAAAAAAGCAGAATATATAGACTGGGATAGTATATCTGCTAGACTATTATATAGTGGTTCTATAAGAGTTCATGACATTGAAACACTTATGTCAAAAGTTTTATATCTTAACTATACAAATGTTTTCAAAGAGAACATAGAAAAATATATTGAGGGTATAGAGTTTGTGAGATGTCATTGGACAGAGTTGTATGAAAAATATAAAGACAAGGAAAATGTTTTCTTTATAGTGGACCCGCCGTTCTATAACACATGGGATTTTCAATACCAAGTAGACTGGACTTTGAGAGACTCTTTAGAAACTTTAGACGTTTTACATAACCATCCATGCTTTTACTTTACATCCGATAAAAGTGGTTTGGAAACCGTTATGAGATGGTTAGAGGACATACATGACTATGAGTTTATATATGACAAGATAGAATATGAGAGAGGTCCTATAAACCGGAGAAAGTGTCACAATAAAGAAATTTTATTAGTAAGTAAATGTGGTTTGAAATAGGACTACTTGTTTTAGGTTTTTTCCATTGTGTCATTTATTTATTTGACGTGGCAGAAAAGTACAGAGAATATGAAGATGAACCAATGCCTGCAAATGTTCAGCATATGTACTCGTAAGAGATATTTTTATCTAATATTAAATGGACGCACAGAACTTAGCGAATGCACAGCAACCCGGACAACCAAACCCAGAGAATATTCCAAATGAAGTTAGAATACAAACTGCAATGGCAAACTATGGTCAAGTGCCAACAGATGTACAAATGCAAACCGCCATGTCAAATGACGCTGCGTTAGGCTTACCACCATGGTATGCAAATATGAGATGGAAAGAGTTTTATACAAACCCTGAAGTGGGATATAAACAACTTTATGCAGATGACGCGAACACAGGAGTTGACCCAGAATATGTTTTCTACCAGAGGAGAAATAGAATGTATGAGCTCCAGTTAAAGAATGCTATGGAACTCAACAGGAAACGTAAGAGACTAGGCGGACATTAGATTTTTACATATAGTAAAATGGGTTTCTTTGGAAGAATAGGAAACTTCTTTCGAAATGTTGGAAGAGGTATATGGAATGGAATAAAATCTGTCGGAAGAGGAATTTGGAACGGAGTCAAAAATATTGGTAAAAGAGTAGGTCAGTTCGTTGGTATTATACCTAAAGACCCTGAACCAGAAGAACAAGCTCCTGTAATACAACAGCCTGAACCTGCACCACAGTCTAGTTGGCAACCAAATCCAACACCTCAACCGTATTAAAAAATTATATTTTTACCGTTCGATAGTAGTTGTATATGAAACTAAGTTCTAAGTAAAACGCATGGTATAATGGAATTATTCTCTTTCTTCCATCTGTTGTAAACCATACTTGAAAGTCTGAAATACTTCCACTTGGTGGTTCATATAGCTTTGTAGGTTTTTCGTAAAAGTCATTTGCCAAGCATAAAAAAGAGTTTTGTGCACCAGAAAATGAAGCATGAACGATAATAGCATCTGAGTCGAAAACATTTTCATATGTTCCATTAGGGTTTCCGACTTCATAAAAGTCTGGGTGTACTGGATATTCTGCAGGCTGATTTAACATCCTCAAAAATCTATACCATGCCAAGTTGTTATATTTTGTAGAAATATAAACGTTTTCTCCAAGGTCTTCTATTCTATTGATTTTAACAGTTGCATTTTTCCTGTCATATATAATATCGAGATGGTACTCTCCCTCGTCAATGTTGTACTGTTTTGCATATTCGAGATAGATATCGTTTATTTTTTCTTGAAAAGCTTGAAGAGTTGTTTCTAAGTTTACAAGCAAATTCACTTGTAAAAGTTTTCCCTGTTCAAATTTCTCATACGTACGTTTTTCTTTGTTATAGTATCGAACTTCAAAACCGACCGTAAATGGGAAACCATGTATGGCTTCTGAAATGAACTTCATTCTACGAAAGCCAATAGCTTTTGTGACGGATGGGTCTCTTAGCCATCTTAGTGGGTAGTCAAAACGATAGCCTTCATGCTTTACGGTCTCTGTCTCAAACTTTTGACCGACATTAGTAAAAAGTTCATCTAATGGTTTAGTTGTAGCAACTCTTGAATTTTCTTTTTCTATTGAAAGCATATTTTATCTAGAATAAAAATGTCAAATGAAACAGCGTCTATGAGAGAAATACAACACAACCGACAACTCATTATACAAGCTCTAAATAAGAACACAACAAACTTTTCAAACTATTCTAAGATATCTGAGTCATTGAAAGAAGGAAACTTAAAACTGACATTAAACCCAAATGACAGATGAGTTTCTGTTTCAGACAATAAGAACATACTGTCTGTATAAATCCAACAAAAAGGAACTTTAAACGAGAAACCTATAAAAGAACTTCTTTTGAAAGCAGATGTTGACAACAAAGCTGACAAAACATATGTAGACGATGCAATAGCAAAAGAAGAAGAAAGAGCTAACAAAGCTTATGCAACAAAAGAACATACTCATCCTGAACTAGCAGACAAAACATATGTTGACAATAAAATGTCAAGTGAAGTGACAAGAGCTGAAAACGAATATTCTAAAAAGACTCATACACATACCATTGCAAATATTGCAAACTTACAAGAAACCTTAAACAGTAAAAGTGACGTTGGACATACACATACCATTGCAAATATTGCAAACTTACAAGAAACCTTAAACAGTAAAAGTGCCGTTGGACATACACATACCATTGCAAATATTGCAAACTTACAAGAAACATTAGAGACAAAAGCAGATAAAACATATGTCAATGAAATATACCAAAGTTTAGTTGGAACAAAAAATATTGAAACTATTGTTGGTGACTTTTCTTTCAATGAAGAAAACAAATATTTTAGATGGCAGTTTGTACATTCCTTAAAAAATGGTATACGGTATAAACTCATTCTGAAAAATAACAATGAAATGTATGTAAGCTATAAAAAGAACGATGGTACACAAGTTAAAGTTCCATTAGACAACAACTGCTACTTAAACTTATATGGAGACGAACAAAAGAAATATTTCCGAGTTTATGAAATGACAGATATGACATTGCCTGACCCAGCTCCAGCACCATACTATTATGACTATGGAGATGACGTCAGAACACCACATGTAGATGAACAAAAGCTAACATTATATTTAGATTTTTATAGATATAAAAGATATAATGCAATAGAAAAAACGAGAATAGTATACTATTATGAAGATGACAGAAATAAATATTATAGTCAAGACTTTACCCACCCTGAAAACATAAGATTATATTATAAAAAATATTCTGACACAAACCAGAAGAAACCTGAAATAGTTGCACTATATTTTAAGTTCAAAAGAGACAATCCTATAATATCTCATATGTTTGATTTAATGAACCCAGTAGGTTCTATTTATACATCTATGGAAGCAAGAGGTCCTCAAGTAATGTTTGGTGTTGGTGCATGGGAACAAATAGTCGACAGGTTTTTGTATTGTGCAAACTCTTCAAAGGAAACAGGTGGAAGTAAAACGATTTCAGGTGAAAACTTACCTGCGCACAGTCACTACATAGATTTAAGTACATCTCAAGCAGGTTGGCATAAGCATAGATATTGGGATTGGTCAGGAATGACAAAAGGTAAAGGATATGATGTTAAAGACGAGGTTAAGTTTGCTATAAATTGTTACTGGAGTGACACTCAGGGAGAAGGAAACCATACACATTTCGTTTCAGGATATACACAAACAACGGGACAAAGTAAAGAATATATGCCACCTTACATGACAGTTTACGCATGGTATAGAATTGCTTAGTCGTCATTTTCAACTTCTTTAGCATATTCGTCAGGAGTTGTCTTATATTTGTTAGGAACTGTCTTTGAAAGTATACCACCTTGAACTTTGACAAGTTTGAAACGAGGTCTGGCAATAGTAGTTTTATCTTCTGCTTGCAGTGTGTACATTTTGCCATGTTTGCCTAAAACTTCATAATATTCTCTTGTATACTTTCTTCTATTTTTACGAACACGAATGTGAGTACCTGTCGGGTTCCCATTGTTGTCATAGTCAATAGTATTTTCATATGGGTCGCGTTTGGGTATTTCTATTTTTACTTTGTCACCTTTCTGAAGTTTGAAGCCCGGCATTCTTTTTGTTTGTCTCTTTGACTAAATTATTAAATATATAGTCTTTCTCTAAGTCAGGGTTGTTTTTCATTTCTTCGGGGGAGTGGTTTCCCAAACCTTTTTGTTTACGGCTATTGTAAATATTTAAAACTTGTCTCATCTTTGCCATGGAGAAGTGTCTATATTTGTCGTCATATGACATTTCATTTGCTTCACCACCTTGTGGTTGGTTTAAGTCTCTTAACATTTTTATACAACCGTCAATGACACCAAGAGCAGAATGGTTTTGGTCGACAATGAAATATTGGTTTACATTTTTTGAACGCAGATAGTTTTTAATATCGTCTGATTTGAAAGAACTTTCACAGTCAGATGTCAGTTTTGTTGGATGGTATTTGTCAACGAATATTGTCAAAGCAGTTTTCACATCTAAAATATTTTTGGACCATAATGGTATGGCTTCACAGTATCTTGTGTTTTGACCAACAAATATTAGCCAGTATGGAGGTCCATCTGTTCTAACTCTCGGAATGTTTTCCAAGATATCCATAAACCAAGCATTTGGTGTTGAACTAAAGATTTTTACCATGAGTGCTTTCTTTGTCGCTTTAGAAACATAGGGGTCCTTGTTTGGATTCGTCATTTTTTAACCCATAAGAAATGGGTTTATTTGGCGCGTTAGCAGGAGTTGCATCCAGATTTTTACCCGCAGTGGGAACAATAGCCAGAGGTGTATTTGGAGTTGGAAGGAAGATTTTGAGTACATTAGGTATACTTAAAGAGAAAGCACAACCTATTATACAAACTGTACAGAAAGGTTGGGATGTAGCACGAGATGCAACAAATCTTATTCCAAATCCTGAAACAAGAGGAAAAGTTCAAGGATGGATGGACAATGTAGGAAGACAAGCAGGAAACTATTATAACAAAGCAAATGACTACTATAACCAAGCAGGACACTATATGGACCAAGGTGAAAGATTCTTTAACAGAGGATATAACCATGCACAACAGTGGGTAAACAATAACCAACCTCAACCGCCTCAAACTTGGAGAATGTAAAATTTTTTACTGAGATGAAATGAACAATACAGCATTGAGACAAATGGGTTCAAGATGGATTTGTCGGCTTCCAGCAGTTACACAACGTGTTTGTCAAGTTCTTCCTATACCTCAGGAAGTTTTAGACCGACTTAAAAAACCTCAACAACCAGTTGAAAACAAACCAAACTAAAATTTTTTACTGAGATGAAATGACCGAAGAAGTTGAAACGGTAGATTTGACACCACAAACAAAAAGTTCAGAACCATTGTCAAAACCTGTCAAAGAACTTACAGATGAAGAGAAAAATTCAATAATAGAAAGTGCCAGGTCTGGAAATACAAACCCTAACTATAAAGTCACTTTTCATAGAAATGGAACGGCTAGTATCTCAAAAAAGAAACAGACTCTCACAAATAAAATATTGAAGTCTGAAGGAGCTTTCGAGACAACAGATGGAAAAGTTTACTTCACTGACCAACAGTTCATTATAGAACATCTCATTGACTTAGAGTCGAAATATTCTAAACTATACAACAAACACAAAAAGTTGAAAGGAAAACAAAAACAAATGGCATATGATATTTATGAAGATGTTGACGACACAACTGTTCCTGCAGGTGGGGTAAAACCAGAGGAACCGAAAAGTGACGAAAAACCGATAGAAGAAGAAAAACCAAAAACTGAAGATAAACCAAAACCAAAGTTTAGTTTGGAAACTAAACCAAGTCAACCTTCATTAGCTGGTATGGGTTGGCGTCAAAGACTTATGGCAGCAGGCGGTTATGTAAAGTAAAGAAAAAATATTTTTTTTATTTTATTTGAAATGTACGCTGAGTTTGTTGGAGCAGACCGTTGGGAAACTTGTTTGTTAGATGAGAAATATGAAATTCACTGTTGTGAGTCATTTGAAGTCAGAAACAAAAAGACAAAAAGAGTTTTAAGCGGATGGGAGCAAAATAACGGATATGCTATGATGAAGATGGGTGGGAAACGCTATTTTAAACATGTTGTCATTGCAACTCATTTTATACCGAACCCTAACAATTTACCTTTTGTAGACCATATAAACCGTATAAGAAACGACAATAGACTTGAAAACTTACGTTGGGTCACTCGTTCTGAAAACAATAAGAACAGAGGCAAATTTGGAGATATAGTATTCGAATTTGTCGACGAACTAGAAGATGAAACAATTGAAATTACAGACTATGGCAAGCATACTTTTGAGTTTTACTACTATAGCGAAGAACAAGACTCTTTCTACTTTTATACCGGCGTAAACTATAGGAAATTACAAGTATATTTTACTAAGGCGGGCTATGCTTATGTAAACACTAGAGATACAGATGGAAAATGCGTTCAAATACTTCTTAACAAATTCAAGAAGCTATATGGCATACCATTTTAAAACAATATATTTTTACATATATTAAATGCTTCAGGTTGAAAAACAAAGAACAAAAGTAGCAGATACAAAACCGTTAGACTATATCTTTACAAATGCTGGTAGGACTATTTCAGATGAAGAAATTTCATCCCGAGCTTACAGGTTTGACTATCCAATTCGTTGGCTTCAAAGTCCTTCAGATGCAAAGGCAATAGGATTTAGAAGAGTTTTGTTTTCAAATAGAACT